GACCTGTTGTGAATTAGTCACTTAAGATAACTTAAAAGGTAGGACAATATCATCAATGAATTAGCTGTTTAATCAGACCATACTCCCATTCTGTGAGATGATAGCAATGTTCTATATTGAGGGAACTTCATAAATTATGCCCAATCCATAAATAATCTTCTTGGTGAATTGGTGTAAGGAGAAATGAACGGATTTTGAAAGATACGTTATGAGATGGAAAGAGCCATCTTTAACAGTCAGATTGGCAGATAAAATTTATCTGAATTTGCCTATAGAAAGAAGGAACTATTAGATTGGTCTTCTGACACTTAATTGGCTGTTGTCAATTCTGATTAGAATTTTAACTGCGAAGTCTATGACAGACTCAGTGGCATGTAGGACATGAAAAAGAGCATTTGTCTCTATCAGAGCATTTCTCTCTCCCTCCCCAACCAATAAAACATTAACTCTTTCCTGTCTTCTCTCCACCTAGTCTTCCTCATTAATAATCTTTCAATTGAAAAGTATTTTGCATCCTGAATAATGCTAAAAATTTACACCAGTTCCTTGTCCTTCTATGCAAAAGTTCTCACAAAGTGTAGCCATTTATCACATATTATATAGAATGATAATAGGCATATAGTGGACAAGAGAAATCCACATTCTGCAATGTGTACAATCCAATTAAAGTTAAGCACTTAGAATTCCTACTAAGTTTCTTATAAGGCAATTATGCTCATTTTTATCTCCGTTATAAAAGATCTTAAAAGAGATTAACTTCAAATAAATCATAACCAATAAAATGTGTAGGTATCAGAAAAAGGTGGAAGCTGATCTGTTTTCAGTGCACTTATTCAAACAAATAGAACATTACTGTGCCAATTTTATATAAGTAAAATGTTTAATCTCCTTATCCATTTTGCTTACACTGTGAATTTTTTTTAAAAATAATTATAATAAAAAGGCTTATTTATTAATTGTTTAAAATGGTACCAGGATATTTTTTGGCAACTGATGTTTTGCATTCAAATACTCTGTGACTAACAAAGAGCTACTTCTAATTATATTGCCTGTATGAAAACATATATGTAAAGGAAAAACTGTTCAGAAAAGCATACCGATTGTTTCTTTGGACAGTCATAGGTGTTTGTGGCTTATATTGCTCACATCCAACAGGTACATATTGGAAAGGCACCATCAGCAGAGTCCTGTGTTGTTGTCCCATAGGAGTAAAATCAATGCCATTCAGTGGCCTCTGCAAACTTTCCATGCATCAATCTAGGGAAGGTCAGAAAAATCAAGATGGCAACTTTGACTGCATGATGAAAGCCCTGTCCCATTCCATGGGTGTTGCATGCCTGATTTGTATAAAAATAGTGGGGCTTGAATTATATGACACAACCAGCATCTTGCTTTTCTGACATCCTCACCGCCACCCCACATCAATCAGCTAGAACAGTGTTCCTCGACCTTGGGAACTTTAAGATATATGGACTTCAATTCCCAGAATTCTGAGAGTTGAAGTCTTCACGTTTTAAGGTTGCTAAGGTTGACAAACACTGAGCTACAGCATGATACTATGTGTTGAATTGTATGCATGCTTTTTATATGCTGCAAGTGCTTTTGCTCAAAAAGGAGTAATGTTTCCTTTTGCTAACTGTAGCCAGGATTATAATTGTACTATTAGCATGGGTTTTTTGTTCAAAACTCAACAATCCCCATTCAGGGTTCATTAGTGAAAAGTGAGAAATATACAGTACAAGTTTGACATCACTCAGTCTTACAAGAAATGGTGATTAGGACTACCTTACTAGTAATGGATATTTCTATGCTGGACAAAATATATATAATGTCCAGTATAACAGATGAAGCTGGGGAGGGGGATTCTATTCTATGGAAATGGTATTTATTAACACATCTGTCAAGTATGAAATGCCTTTATTGAGTCAATTAAAAATTAGATTGCCAGGACTTCTGAAGGAAGAACAAAAGAATAAAAATAGCAATAATTTGATTCTTCAATGCATTTTTGTCTCTTGAAAGTACTTCTTGCAAATAAAAAGTCCAAATAAATGTATACAAAAATAAACACATAATTTAGCCCTTCCCCCCAAATTAGGCAAACATAGATTTTCTGATTTTCTACTGATTAATCATCATGCCAAAACCTAATTTCTTAAGCTTTCACAGAGCTTAATGTATAATCCTCACTAATGTCAGTGATGGGAAAGTTTTGCTAACAAATACATGGATTGACCTTGTGAGGTCAATTGAACTGTATTAAAGCAAGTTATTGATCCAAGATGATGTATCATGGTGTAGGCAAAATTCAAAGCAAGTAATATCTTTGAGATATCTGTGGTCAAACCTCTGAAATTTCAAAGCTTGCCAAAACTCCAGCAAAAATTATGTTTGAAGCATAACAAATACTAATTCTCAATGTCTTTCATACCCATAAAAATGGAAAAGATCACTCAGCCATTTGTTGATATGAAAAAGATGAATTTATTGAGCCACAGTTTGTCCTGAGAAAATTACTGTCTAGTAGAGTTGCACATGATGTTTCTAAATTGTTTAACTATTTTATTAAAAATTAAAGGTTCACTTTTTGTACACAACTACATATTTGGCCTGAGATTTTTTCTATTTAAATGTATATTTTCTTAATGTTTCATCACAGCATATTTATACTGTACATTGTGTTCTCATTAACTCTGACAGAATTACTGAGCTATTTTACAGATGAATTTTACATGTGAAACTTACATTTTAGAGGAAATAGAGTTGCCGCAGTGCTTTTCTGTTTTCAGCAGGTTCACAATGTAAATAAATCAAATGGAATTTTTTTCAAGCACCAATTTCTACTGGGAAAAAAAACACATTACAGTAAACTTCTACAGTTTCATGCATCCCTTGGAATAGAAATGCATCCAGTTTAGCATTTTATCTATTTAGTTCATTTGGTATACCTAAGCTGACCAGCAGGGAGGCTCAGGAATTATTCTGAAAGGAATGTTTAATCAACCATCCTTCCTGCTTTCTAATTTTCCTGGTTTTTGCCTGTCATTCAAAAACATTTCTTTCTCTTTTTTTTTTGGCAGAGCATTCCAAATCTGGGGAAGGGGAAAATACTGGAGCAACAACTACATCCTAGAAACATTTAAAAAAAAAATGCACGCCCATTAATGCCAGTGGGAGGAAATTTACCATGCTAGTCTGGGGTGATGCAATTTGGGGACATTAAGGGAGAAAAGATCTGGAGAAAGAAGAAATAGGACCCTATAAATTATGGGGGTACAACATTTAACCTTTGGGCAAAATTTGTGCAGCCCATGGCTTCATTGCAAAACCTAGTGAAATATGGAGATCTCCTGTCAGATAATAATGGTAATAGCAATTTATCCCTTCCCTGAAGTCTAATGCAGTGTTTCTCAACCTCAGCAACTTTAAGATGTGTGGATTTCAACTCCCAGAATTCCCCAGCCAGCATTGGGAGTTGAAGTCGCACATCTTAAAGTTGCTGAGGTTGAGAAACACTGGTCTAATCACTTGCAGGGGAGAACAGGTGGGGGGGAGACAGGAAGATGTCAGAAAGAGAAAAATGGAATCTTACAGAATAGATAATTCCCCCACTTTTGCCTCTGGGCCTAACCAAAGTTTGCTTCAAATGTACCAACATGTGGCAGTCAACAAATTATCTGTGAAGGGAATGTAGCTATCAAAAGATAAAACATTGCCATCTTTACAATAGATTCATGGCCAAGCCAGTATACTCCATTTTGGCCAACCCCCAGAAGGACATTTTTAGGAGGCCCTTGTAGTTCTCCATAAGTTTATATGCTTGTATCTCTCTGCATCAGTAGAACTGCATTTAACCCTAGTTCCTAAGTCCCTTTAGCCAAATGAAAGCCAAATGTAGGATTGTTTACCAAACCGAAATAATTTGAGTAACTGACTTTGGAAGTATAATGAAAAGAATTTTTATGTGTTTGTATTTGATATCTGTACTATATATATGTACAACATTCAGTGCTGTCCTGGTAAAAATTACAGCATGAGTGTCCGTCTCTTATTGTAAGTTTTATTTAATTTTAAAAAAGTAAATCCCTACAGAAAATTTGCCTAATAATTTAGTTCTCTTCCTCTCTCCCCTGCATGTATATGTGTGTGTTGTGTGTGTGTTACCCACAAACCTTGGAAATAAGATTTGTGAGCTGAACTGTTGGGCAGATATCTATTGGACTGCATCTTTAACACATTGCTTCAATTCAAGCTTGTTATCTAGCACATAGCATAATTTTTATTTATCCTGTGACCTATAAAGAGAGAGCCAGTTTGGTGTATTGATTAAGGTGCTGGCCTAGAAACCAGGAGACAGTGAAAGCCAGCTGGGTGACTTTGTGCCAGTCACTCTCTCTCATCCCAACCCACCTCACAAGGTTGTTGTTGTGGAGAAAATAGAAGGCAGGAATAGTAGGCATGTTCGCTGCCTTGAGTTATATATATAAAAAGGCAGGATAAAAAAAAATATAATGATGATGATGATGATGCATATCAATTTCTCCATCATTTGAAAGATGTCCCATTTTGAAAGATGCTCCATCTGAAACTGGATCATGTTTTGCTAATGTCTGAAAGATGTGGACTAGGGTCATAGGAGAGAGGCATAGCATTCTGCTTTGACATATGCCTCAAAGGGAATAAGCATCAAAGCAAGCATAAAAAGCTGCAATAAATAAAATGAAATGTTACATAGTAGACCAATCTCACCTGTCAGATTCTTATTCCAAAACTATTTTTAAAAACATTTATTCCTTCTAGGATTGATAATTTGAGAAGAA